CTAGTGCATTCCATATATATAAAAGCCCAGCGACCGGAACGGTGAATGACCAGAATGACCAGAAGGACTGGTGGCTATGACACGCACTGCGGCAGCCAACCAGCCTGATCCAGGCTCCAATCCCCTTCCCCCTCCATGGCTAACCCGGCCCCCAACACCCCGATCAGGGACCCTTTGGTCTGCAGGCCGATCCACTGATCCACTTACCAGACCCCACCCATGCACGAATTTGTGCACTGGGCCTCTAGTGTAGAAATAAACAGAATAGGTACTTGGGAGTATTAAATGTTATTAGCACCAGGAGGCTATAGAAACCTTTTATTCTTTTCACTCAAACAGAGACTTATTTTAAAAATATTTATACAGGCTTCTATTTCAGGTTTTTAAATTCTTTAAAAGAAGTGGATTGTATGCAGGAGGGTTAAATGCTTTACAGACGAGGAACCCTGCTAGAACCAATTCTCTTGTTGCCATTTCAGCATCTTTGTGTTTGGTCTTTCTTTTTCCTCCTCCTCACTTTTATCCTTTCCCTCTCCCTTCCTGCTGCTTTTTTCTACCTGTGACCCTTTATCAGAGACTTTATTGAGACCAGTTTGTAAACATATCTTCATATTTTGTATTCAGCATCGTAGCCTTCTTTTCACAAGGTCCCAATTTCTTTGTGACATAGCTGATGGTTAGGCCAAGATGTGCCCCTTTGATTGTTTGGAACAAAACAAGGACCACTCTTGGATGGGATCCGGGACCAGCAGCGTGGACATCATCTGGGAGCTTGTTACAAATGCAGAGTTCTAGGTCCCATCCCCAGACCTATTGAATCCCCATCTGCTTTTTAGCAGGATTCCCAAAGATACTTCTACATAAGTTTGAGGAGTACTGCTTTCGCATGTTTTAGAAAATTATAACATCTTGACTGAAGCTTCTGGATGCTTTGTCTTTGCTCTTCCCTTAGTTTGCACAATGATGCCATATGGAGACATTTGACCTCCTTTTTAAAAAATTTTTTATTTTTATTTTTATTTATTTATTTATTTATTTATTTTTGGCCTCCTTTTTAAAATTATATTTTTATTGATTTCAGAGAGGAAGGGAGAGGGAGAGAGATAGAAACACCAATGATGAGAAAGAAAAATTGATCGGCTGCCTCCTGCATGCCTCCTACTCAGGATTGAGCCCACAACCTAGACATGTGTCCTTGACTGGAATCGAACCTGGGATATGGAGACATTTGACCTCCTTTTTAAAAAATTTTTTATTTTTATTTTTATTTATTTATTTATTTATTTATTTTTGGCCTCCTTTTTAAAATTATATTTTTATTGATTTCAGAGAGGAAGGGAGAGGGAGAGAGATAGAAACACCAATGATGAGAAAGAAAAATTGATCGGCTGCCTCCTGCATGCCTCCTACTCAGGATTGAGCCCACAACCTAGACATGTGTCCTTGACTGGAATCGAACCTGGGACCCTTGAGTCCACAGGCTGCTGCTCTAGCCACTGAGTTAAACCAGCTAGGGCAACATTTGGGCTCTTTGACTTTTTCTTGCCCATGTTATTTTTCCCTAGTGGGGCCACCTGCTGCCCTGCTGGCTCTCAGTTGGCCCAGTTCTTGCTCTCTGGAGCCCATCATTGTGTGAGGCCTATGAGAGCATCATGACAAATTTTGAATTCTATCAGCCTAGAGGATTCGGGGAACAGTTTATAATGAAGATGTCCATTGGCATATCCATAAATCATGTATTTTCTTTTTCCATTTTCCTGTAGTATGGTGATTCGTGGTGATAAAGATGAACAGGCTGTGCTGTGCAGTAAAGACAAAACCTATGACTTGAAGATAGCAGATACTTCCAATATGTTGCTTTTAATTCCTGGTTGTAAAACTCCAGACCAGCTGAAGATGGGAGAAACCGGCTGTAACATTATTCACACCGAGGTACTGTAGTTTGTCTCCTGATTATATAAGTATGAGAATGACAACACAGGTCTAATCTTGCCTTCAATTAAAAACTTTAGATATGCACTGTATAATCACAGGAACTCTGCAAAGTTCTCTAATGATATTTGGAAGCTCTTAGCATTGTTTTTGTTGTCTTGTGAAGCTGTCTTTGTTTGCCAGTTTGTGGACTATGGATGACAGCACAGCAGTCTTTCTGTTTTAGTCCTTACGTTTTTCTTTTGAAGGCCTTAAATTCAGCAGCAAACATCAGGCTCTGGGCCTTGTCTTGTCAATCATACTTTGAACTACTTCGAGAGCAGAAGCATCCCCTGACCTTCCATTTTAGAATTGGAAGGCACCCGGAGATGATCCACTTCAGCCTTTTCTCCTCTCATGTGAAACACTTACTGGGCCCCTACTAAGTGTTAGACGCCAGGCAGGTTCTGGCGATACAGAGAGGAATAACAGTTCTTTATGTATCCTTTAGCCTCTATCAACTGGATTTCCTTGAGTGGTAGGTCTCTCACTGGTTCACCAGCCCAATAAGGAGCTAGCTGCAATTCTAAATAGTACAACGTTCTTGAATTGAAGTTTTTCTCCCTTACCGTCTGCTTGATTTTGCTATCATGAGTAAAACAGAACAAAGGTTCCCTCTTCCCTTTAACATTTCTTCATTATTTGAAGACTGTGCTAATGTCTCTTCTTTATTTTCTGTTGTTCAGTCTAAAAGTATTCATTTTCAGTTGTTTCTATTTTGTTTGTAAAATTGTCACCTTTCTGGTTATTCTTCTCTGGGCATACTCTGGTTTCCAAAGTACACGTGAGCTATGGAGCTCAATTATTGGTTCTCACTGTGTTGGCAGTAGCTTCTGAAATGGGGTTTGAAAAGATTCCTGAAGATGCCTCTCCACCTGTTTAAGGTGCTGGATCGATGCCTTCCCAACAGAAAGCGGAACAACAATTTCCCTTGCTTCTTGTTGAGGGAAGATGGGTGGGTTGAAATTGTTTGAGATTTTTCTTTTAGAATGAACCCTAAAAAGTGATAATGTATTTATAATTTTTAGATCTTTGGTTTTTCTAATAATTATTGGGAACTAAGAAGATGTAGACCTAAATTAAAGAAGCTAAAGAGACTTTTAATGGCAAATACCTATGAAGGACCTGACAGTCAAAAAGAAAAGGATTCCAATTTCTCAAAAGTAAGACTATTATTTTCACTTTTTATTTGGAATTTAAAAAATAGAACTATAACTACAGGCACTGGTGACATTTTTACATTTTAAACTTTATATTATGAAAATTTCAGACCTATCCAGAAGCAGAAAGAGTACGGTGTATTCATCACTCAGTTGAACATTTAACAATATTTTGTCAGTCTTGCTTTTTTTCTATCCCCTGCTTCTTCCTACCTGTTTTCCTTTTTCTGGAGTATTTTAAAGCAAATTCTACATATGGTGACATTTACCTGGCTGAAAGCTCATGTTCCTAACTATGCAAAAATAGTTTTTTACAAGTTAGATTAATTTTTATTTAATTGAAAGTTATAATTAGGAGCTCTTTAGAAAAGACATTATGATAAGTATTGGAATACATTATGAAAAGTATTCTTACTCTAATGTCAAAATTGACTAATTCTTGGAAATATGGAAAAATATAAACAAAGTAAAAATGTTTTTAAGAATTTTTAATGTAATTCAAAATTATAGAACTCTACTGGTATTCTGAAGACCATATTTGTATTAGAAGTTCTCTTTTTCTCCATTGATTTTTTTTGGGGGGGGTTTACACCTTTATTTAGATATAACTCATATACCAAACAATTCACTTATTTTTAAAGTGTATATATAATTCAATGTTCTTTAGTACATTTACAGTGGTGTGCAATCATCACCCTGATGAAATTGAGAACATTTTCATCAGCCTCAAAAGAAACCCTGTACCCTCAGCTATTACCTTCCAATTCTATTTTTCCCAATTTCCCTCTTCCGCCTCAGCCCAAGGCAACCACTAATCTACTTTCTATTTCTATTGATTTGCCTCTTCTGGACATCTCACATGAATGGAATCATATCATTTGTGGCCTTCTCTGACCGGCTTCTTGTTTGACTTAGCATGATGTTTTCAAGTTTCATTCATATTATAGCATGTATCAGTAGTTAATTCCTTTTTATTGCTGAATATTAGCCTACTTTATGGCTACATCCACATTTTATCCATCCATTCATCAGTTGATGGGCATTTTTAATTGAGATGAACAACACTGCTGTGCTATGGGCACTCATATACAAGTTTCTGTTGCGCTTATGTTTTCTAAACATTTTATTTTTTTTAAAAATATATTTTATTGATTTTTTACAGAGAGGAAGGGAGAGAGATAGATAGTCAGAAACATCGATGAGAGAGAAACATCGACCAGCTGCCTCCTGCACATCTCCCACTGGAGATGTGCCCGCAACCCAGGCACATGCCCTTGATCGGAATCAAACCTGGGACCCTTCAGTCCGCAGGCCGACGCTCCATCCACTGAGCCAAACCGGTTTCGGCTTTATTTTTTTTAAATAATCTACCAGAGCCCATGCTTAGAGAAAGTGGGGCTGGGGGGTGGGAGGGTGGTGGTGGGCAAACAGAGAGACATGGATCGGTTGACTTCCCTAGACTCCCTGACTGGGGATGGAACCCGAAACCTAGGTATGTGCCTTGAATGGAAATCAAACTGGCAACCTTTAGATGCACAGGAGATGCACAGGAGAACAACTGAGCCACTATGTTTTCATTTCTCTTGGGCATGTATCTAAGAGTAGAATTAACGGGTCATGTGCTTATTCTGCATAATCTTTCGAAGACCTGCGAGACAGTGGCTGCACCATTTTACATTCCCATCATATGAGGGTTCCAATTCCTTCAGGTTTTTGACAAAACTTGTTTTTTTTCTGTCTTTTTAATATCCATGCTAGTGGGTTTGAAATGGTAGCATTGTGGTTTTGATGTGCATTCCCCTAATGACTAATGATTTTGAGCATATTTTTCCTGTGCTTATTGACTGTATATTTTTGGAGAATGTCTATTTAGGAACTCCTTTGTCCAGTTTTTAATCGGGTTATTTGTCCTTTTGTTACTAAATTGTAGGAGAGTTCTTTCTACATTCTAAATGCAAGTTCCTACCAGATAGATGATGTGCAAATATTTTCCCCTATTCTGTGGGTTGTTTTTTCACTTTCTTGATTTTTTTAAGAATTGTAAATATACATAACATAACATTTACCATTTTAATCTTATGTGGATAGTTCTGTGGCATTAAGTATATTCATCTTATTTTGTGACCATCACCACCATCCATCTACAGAAATTTTTTATTTTCCCCAAGCTGAAATTCTATACCTATTATACACTAAATCCCTAGATTCCCCTGCCACCCAGCCTCTAGTGACCAACATTTTACTTACTGTTTCTATGAATTTGACTACTCTAACTATCCCATGTAAGTGGAATCATGCAATAGTTGTCCTTTTGTGTTGATGATGTTTTGAAGAACAGAGTATAAAAGTTTTTCATTTTGATGAAGTCCAATTTATCTATTTTTCCTTTTGTTGCTTGTGTTTTGGTATCATATCTAAGAAACCATTATTAAAATCCAACATCACTTATGCTTTCTTCTGAGATATCTACTGATGCCCTGACTGGTTTGACTCAGTGGATAGAGCATCGACCTGAGGACTGAAGGGTCCTGGGTTCGATTCTGGTCAAGGGCATGTACCTTGGTTGCGGGCACATCCCCAGTAGGGGGTGTGTAGTAGGCAGCTGATCAATGTTTCTCATTGATGTTTCTAACTCTCTATCCCTCTCCCTTGCTCTCTTTAAAAAAATCAATAAAATATATATATTTAAAAAGATATCTACTGATTTTGTGTAGTAATCATTACATATTAACAAAAGAATTGAGCTAGTGTTTAAATATTGCCTTAATCTACTTTATGTATTTATTCTCCCAAATTCAAGAATCTTAAAAAATATTATTCAAAGGTCTTAAAATATTGTTTGTTCGTTTTTTCTTGTTTCAGTATACAACTGAAGATTTGCTTGATCAAATTCAGGCAAGTGAAGAAGAAATAATGGCCCAATTACAAGTTCTAAATGCCTGTGAGATTGGAGGTAGCTTTACTTGTCATTGTTATTAATAATGATGATGGAATTGAGCATCATGTAAGAGAAAAAGAGACAAGTTTTGGACATCTTCACCCTATTAGATTTTGTGTATTCTTTTTGGAGGCTCACAGATGATGATATTTGTATGTTGGGGAATGGGTAGAGAATACATGTGATCTTCTTTACATGAAGAGGTCAGTCCATGACCAGTACTTTAGCCTTTTGCTTTGGATTAAGAGGTAGTAGGAGAACCATGTTAGCTTGAGAAAGGTCTTAACGTAAGAGTAGTCTAATCCCTTCATTGTTTTTCTTAGTTTCTTAGGTGAAGAAACTAAGGCCTATTTTTAAGGGGAACTGACTTGTCCAGGGCTACCTATTGAGTTAGTGATAAGGCATAGAACCCAGATGAACTTGAACTTGAATTCCTGGTTTGGAATTAATTTAATAACCTCATTGTATTTCCAAATTGCTTGGAAGATAAGACTGTGTTTCTTCTTGTGGTAACATGTAACATGCTTTTGAATATAAATGGTTTTATAGTAAACCTATGTAAAAGATAGAATAGTGTGTGTTGGTCTCAGGAGTTGAGGAAGAAACCCAGTAGTATCTTCTTTAAGTGTTCTGACTGGTTTCTGGTCTGCAGTTGGAGTTTTTTCCCCAGTGTCTGGGCCTGCAGTAAGAGTAGGCATTTATGTGCATTTGTCAGCCCTTTTAAGCTAGCCCAGAGAAGCAGCTTAACTCAGCACCCATGTGTGAAGGAGGAAATCGGCACGGGTTGATAGATTTACTATTCAGTTTGCTCACAATCTTTCAAGCAAGATTAACTTTTGTTAAACCTTAACTTGAATGTGTGGCAAATTCTGCTGAGTAAAGCAACTGCGCATGACTTGAGAACTAGAAACACTTAGCTCACTTGGTCCTAAGCATAGGAAATGCTTTCTTTCTCAGTGTTACATCACAACTCCATTTTTAATGTTGCCTTTATGTTTCAGAATAAGAATAGCAACAGTCTCCTTTGGAAGTGGTGGATGTATACTTGGTTTGTTTCTCCATGGGTGATGGTGGTGCCTTCGATTATAAGATGGCTTTTCATTTTTCATGTGACTAGGGGAAGGTATCTTGATGCCCAGCCTTCATTTTGCCACTGGTCCACATCATACCTCTGAGTCTGTTGTCTCTTGAATGAGCTAGACTTCCTTTTGAGCGTAAGAACCCCCTTGCAGGCTAGCTGAGGTGAGAGTGATGACCATGGCAGTGCCCCCAGCAGAGGTTACGGTGTGGGATAGCAAACCCATGGCCTTCACCTCATTAGTATGACATTCTAATGAAATGACTGTACCAGCCACGTCCATTTAGAACAACAAGATTATTGTGAGATATTGATTTTAATATTAAAGCACTTGAAAAAAATCAGTGTTAGTCATATTTGAACTACTCTTTAAAAAACCACAATTTGTAATGGGAGAAAAGCATAAAACGAAGTATTGTTTCTTAGGAAAGTGAAGACTTTTTTTTTTGAAAGTAAAGACTTTTAGTGTCTCTTTTTTTTTTTTGTGGTGGGCAAGAGCATGCTGCTACTTTATCAGTTTATTAGCCAATCAGTTTGCTTAATATGTTCTTTGAGAAATATAACTTTGAATTTGTAGGTTATTGGAGGATTCTTGAATTTGATTATGAGATGAAACTTCTGAATCATGTAACTCAGCTTGTGGATTCTGAATCATGGTCTTTTACTAAAGTTCCTTTGAATATATGCCTTCAGGAACTTGGACCATTAGAGCCAGAGTAAGTATTTTAATCCCTGTCACACCAGATTTCTTTAAAGCGAAGGAAATTATTTTCCAGGGTGGAACTAAACCCAGGGCATAGACTACTTATATTTTGATAGTTTATAGAAATTTAAAAATTATCCAACCAAGAAGGGCTTGGAATTTTGATTACTGGGGTGAATAAATGTGTATTATGTTATTTTTGCATTAAAAATACAAATAAATAATTATGCTTAACTATTTTATAATAGAAGTGTGCTCATATAATTCATGTAAAAATAGTTAGCATGGGATCTGGTACATAGTAGCTTCCTAGTATATATTAGTTAGTTCCTAATGTAAAGTTTTACTTGGCAGCTAAAATCACTTACTATTTCAAATCACAGATGTATATCTTAGTTTCTAGTTAACAGTGGTATATAAAATATAATGTATAAAAATGTGATAACTTTTCAAATGAGTGTTTTACATTTTTCAGAGAAATGATTGAACACTGTCTTAAGTGTTATGGAAGAAGATATACAGAGGAAGGTAAGATTTGGAAAGTATTTTAATGGGTATAAAATCTTGTATGTTAAAATCGGTATGCTTTTCTGAGGTGTGTTTCGGTCCAAAATAAGGACTCCATGGGTCATGGGAGGTGAGTTGTGTAGAATTCCTTCTGGGGATTTCATGGCGGAAAAAGAAACAATAGGAGTGTATCACATGGTGAAGATAATATGAAAGCATTGGATGCCTTTTCTTTAGGTGAAGTTTAGTTCTTTATTTTCCCCAGGTGAAATTTATTTTGACTTGAGCACTGATAAAATCTGTAGAGCAACAGCACAAATGCTACTTCAGAATGCAGTGAAGTTCAACCTCGCCGAGTTTCAGGAAGTGTGGCAGCAGAGTGTCCCTGAAGGAATGATAACCAGGCTGGAGCAGCTTAAGGTGAGCTAGCGATGATGATGGCTACCATGACAACAGATCATCATTAGTTACTAGGTGAAACGAATTTTATGTTGGAACTGAATCTGGAACCAATTTATTTTCCTAGCTACCCGTTAAGTGTATACTATACTCTCAGTCTATCACAAAATCCTCTAAAAAAAACCCCAAACCCAACACTTTATTGAAGTATAATTTACATATCACAAAATTTATTTCTTTAAAAAGGGTTTTTGGTAAATTTAGTGGGTTACACAGCCATCACCATAATCTATTATAGAACATTATCACCTCAATGAAATCCCTCAGGCCCATATATAGTTAATCCTGATTTCCACTCCATTGGTTTTTCTCAATTTCCACCAGCACCATTTTAGCTCAAACTATCATATTCATTTGGCTATAAATAACAGTAATATCCCTAACCAGGCCTTCCATACTTTTAATTTTGCCCTGCTCCAGTCCATTCTCTGTGGTGCTACTGGAATGATCTTTAAAAAATGCCAGTCAGATTAGATGAATGTCTTGCTTAAATCACTTTAATGGTTGCCCAATGCATTTAAGATATAAAATCCAGAATTCATATTTTGGCCTACAAGGCCCTCCATAATCTCCTCTTCATAATTTCTGTCCTACTCAATACATACCCAGTGTTCTTTCAAATTTTCAAGATCATCAAGCTGGCTTTTAGCTTAGGGCTTTCACTCAAGGCTTTTCGTTCCAGAATGATCTCCCTAATTTCATCTGGCCACCTCCTACTCATCTTTGAGTAACTTCATCAAAGAGGCCTTCCTTCACTCTAAAAAAAATGCCTCTGTTTTACTCTTCCATAACACCCTGTATTTTTCCTTCATGGCACTTATCACTTTGCTTTAAAAGTGTTAATTATGTGGCTGCCCACCTCCACTTTGATAGAATTTTGTTCACTGTTGCTTGTCAATATTTAGCATCCTGCTTGGCATGTAGTGTATACTCAATAAGTATTTGTAAAATAAGAGAAAGGGTTTGCTCAATATTTGCAGAAGTCCTTTTAAGTCTTAGGCACTGTGCTAGATCCTGAGGTGCCATCAACATCCTAAACTATCTAGAAAGTATTTGGGCTCATTCAGTGTAGTAGCAAGGAAAGTAACCTGATGAGTTTTGCCTTTTGGAAAGAACACCGACGGTAATGAGGATGGATGCATAGATGGATAGATGGATGGATGGATGGATGGATGAAGGTTGGCTAGATGATGAAAAGGAGACTATCCAGGCTTTCAACACTTAAATATTCCTAACTAACACAGTACTAGCTAAAGAAATAAGTGATACAGAATGGATAGAGAAATGTTGAGGGCTTAAAACCTGTAGGATAGTGACCACTTAGGTGTGGGGTACGAATAGTGGAATCTAAGGTGATGCCTCGGTTTCTTGGCTTCCTAGGACAGTGAGACTAGAGCAAGTTTAGGTGACAGATACTGTAAGTTCATATATAGGTTTGTATATACAGATCAGGTGCTCAGTCGAAGAGACATTTGAATTGCAGATAAATCTCACAGGTATTAGCAAGTAATCGGTCGTCGAAATCATGGTTTAGTTGAGGTTATACAGGACTGACAATGAGATGAGTAGAGGGGCAGGATAGAGGCCCAAGGAACTGTGACCTCAAGTTAGGAGGGAAATAATGAGATGGTGATATCAGAGATAAAGATTCAAAGAGGAAGGAATAATCAACAATAACAAAGAAAACAGCTAATGTGATGAATCCAAGGGCCTAGTGGCAATGACAGGTTACTGGTGACCTTGAGCTAGAGCTGTCTTTATAAATTGGTGTGGTAGAAGCCAGGTTACAGAGGAAAAAGGAGAAGTCAAAGAAGTCAAAATTTAAAGAAGCATTTCTTTTTTCTTTCTTTTTTTTTTTAAAGAAGCATTTCTATGAAAAAAAATTATTAGGTTTCAGTAGCTTGTGTTTCATGTAGCTGACATTTTAAATGCCCTGGACTAAGCTAAACCTAAACATAAAAGAATAAGCTGTATTTAAACATTAGACCATTGCTTTACTCTTTTTCTCATTTCTTAATAGGGTTTGGCCTTGGTGGATAGACAGTCAAGACCAGAAATCATATTTTTGCTAAAAGTAGATGATTTACCTGAAGATAATCAGGAACGTTTTAATAGTCTGTTCTCTCTAAGGGAGAAATGGACAGAAGAAGATATTGCTCCATATATTCAGTAAGTACTTTATTAAATTAAATATCAATTTTGAGGGCTGTTCTTTTAATAAAGAGTGGCATAGTGTTTTGGATTTTTATTAGAACACTTTTATTTTTGAGTATTTCCCAAGGACACTGCTTCCTTTGAAATTTTCTCAAGTGGAGGCTGTCTTCTATATTATCCTCATAACCACTGATCCTGATGGTAGGCTATGTGTTATCTTTCTTCCTTACTAATTCATATATACACACACACACACACACACACACACACACACATATATATATACACACACACATATATATATACACACACACATATATATTAATATATTTTTATTGATTTCAGAGAAGAAGGGTGAGGGAGAGAGAGATAGAAACATCAATGATGAAAGAGAATCATTGATTGGCTGCCTCCTGCATGCCCCTGCTGTGGAGTCCACAACCTGGGCATGTGCCCTGAATGGGAATTGAACCCTGACCTCATGGTTCATAGGTTGATGTTCAACCACTGAGCCACACCACCCGGGCACTTACTACTTCTTCTAAAATCACTTTTCTGCCCTCCTCCCTGCAAAATTGCGGCTCTTAGAGGTACAGTCAGACTATATACCCATCTCTGAGTGACACCTGCTGCCTTGCTTTAACATCTTGTAGAAGCCAGATTGCAGAAGAACAAGTTAGCCCAGAAGCCACCAACACTTCCCCCTCTTCGCTGTGTCTCACCTTTTAGGTCCTCTCTTTTTACCCAGATTAGATTCCCTGGTCAATTTCTCCAACTATTACTCTATACCCTCCAATCCTTTGGTCCCCTCTCTCTGTCTTCTCATATCTCCCAGGCAAAAATATACAAAGATTAAACCCAACTTTCTGCTTGCTCTGTGCCTTCACCTGGCAAAATTTCCTGGAGAGAAATACACAATGGGGCCTGGCAAGTGGTACTTACATCAAGCTGCCTAATTAACATTTCCACTTGAATATCTAATAGGAATTTCAAACCTAACATGCTCATAACAGAACTGTTGATACCCCCTTGTCCTAATCCCATCTTCCTCATCTCAGTTAATAGCACTACCATTAGTCCCAGTGACTCAAGCAAAAAGTCTAGGAGTCAACTTTGTCTTTTTCTTCGCTCACCCCTTGGTTCACACTATGAGCAAATCCTGATGGATAATCTTGTACGTGACTCTGAACTGGTCTCCCTACTTCTATTTTGCCCCCTTACCTTCTCCCTCTTTTTCACTTTTTGTGAATATACTGTATAGTATAATGAATGCTCCATGAACTCACCACCTACTTTCCATAATCATCACTCATTGCCTCCATTATTTAAAACTTAGATGGATTATGCTTTTCCACTAATTAAAACTCTCTTAGTGGCTTCCCATAATGCTTAGAATTAAATCACTACTTCTTTCCATGGTTTTCAAGGCCCTACGTGATCTAACTCTTGCTCTCTTCCTATTCTTCCCTTTCCTCATTATGTGTCCGTCCTAATATTCTCTTTTTTGGGGTACAGAAGAGGAAGCTAAAGTTCAGGGAGGGCAGGTAACCTTGACAAGCTCACACAGGTAGCCTAGTATCCAGGTTCTCTGAGTCTAGACCCTACTGTATCACATTGCTTTCTTGTATTTCTACTTTGGAGGTTGTGTGATAAAATGGAAAACAAAAACTTTGAAGTCATAGAGAGCTGGCTGCAAAATCTGGATTGTCCTTTACTTCCTGAGCCTCAGTCTCCTCATATCTAGTATGGGGTTAAATAATACGTTACTCATACTCTTCGTGTGAAGTTTGAAGATAATACATTCAATGCACCTGGTCAATTAAGGCTTAGTAACTGGTCCCTACCCTGTCTCTCCTACACACACATACCCTATGCTTCTTGGGAAGATGAGATTTAGGAGAGAAAGATAGAAATAAATAGTACTGTGAATATTATGTTATGTCCCCTAAAATATTTCTGCTATTTATTTATTTATTTTTTGTTCCTACAGAGATTTGTGTGGAGAGAAGCAAACCATAGGTGCATTACTCACTAAATATTCTCGATCTTCGATGCAAAATGGTGTTAAAGTTTATAACTCAAGAAGACCCATTTCTTAAAGAACAACAGTCTTTTCTTTGCAACTAAAGTTCCTTTATAAAGTTGCTGGTTATTATAGGAAAAAGATGCTTTTATGCATTTGTACTTCAGACTTTTAAAAACCTTGTACTACGAGGCATTTTTCTTTTCATCTTAAGCATTTTGAAACTACTGCTCTTCTTTTTTCTTAAATGTAATAGGATATTCCTATCTTTCGAGTTATGTTTGTATTAGGTACACAGTATAAACAAGGACAGAAGAAAGTGTTATTTCTTTTTTCTTTCTTTTTTTTTTTAAAGATTTAATTTTTTTTTAAATATATTTTATTGATTCTTCACAGAGAGAAAGGGAGAGAGACAGAGAGTCAGAAACATCGATGAGAGAGAAACATCGATCAGCTGCCTCCTGCACATCTCCCACTGGGGATGCGCCCGCAACCCAGGTACCTGCCCCTGGCCGGAATCAAACCCGGGACCCCTCAGTCCGCAAGCCAACGCTCCATCCACTGAGCCAAACCGGTTTCGGCAGTGTTATTTCTTATGTTTAGTATATCTCTATAGTTCATTTGGTTTTATTTATTGATAATATTTGCTTTTTAAATATTTAATATTGTATTTCTTTCATTAGGATTTGACATTGTAATCATTAATAAATTTAAATCTTTTTTAGAGAACTAAATAGCGAAGAGAATTATTTATGCACTTAAATGCCACTTCTCAAGCAAGTGGGTTCCCATCTAGTTTCAACCTCCCACCAAAACAGGAAGTCACTACATGCTACCAGTTATCTACATTACTCATTTTCATTGATGAAATTGGCTTGATAATTGCTCCTCCATTTGTTTGGCTGAAATGGGATGAAATGGCTTTGATCCTCAATTCGATGTGAAGGATAATAATAGAGCAGTTTATAATCCTGTGGTAGGCAGGTAGACAGACATGTGCAGAGCAAGGATGATAGGCCAGGGACAGAAGATCACCCAGGTTCCTAGCAATGGACAGTTGTAGGGTAGGAACTTGTCCCCTGGGTGATCTTTCCTCCCCTAGCATATCGCTGGTCATGTAGTTTAGACCCCCTAACCTTTCCTCCCTGGAGATAACATCTAGGCCTCAGTTGTATTTCAACTCCAGGCCCAGAAAAGCAGCAAAACTAGACAACAGAGGCTACCTCAGGACCAGTTGCATTGAATAATGACCCCCTGCCCTGGCTTAGACCAATCAGTGGAGACCCCTACCCAGAAAGGACACACCTGGGAAACTGCTGAATATTCTATTGAGATCTTCCCTTGGGGTCTCCGCTAAAATCTCCACCCTTAAAGTCCTCAGGACAGAGGACCCAGCTCCCTCTCCCCTCCTGGAGAATGGGTGTCTTCCCTTTCCCCTCCCCTCAGGTGCATCACCTTTACCTTCCGCACTTCTAAGCTCCAAGGGCCCATCGTTTGCCTCTATAACTTGTTTCCTAAGTCCATTTCTTTTACAAATTACTCCTACCTCTGTGATTTTCTAAATAAATGCTCTCTTATAGTTTGAGTCTTGACTGAATTCTTTTCTAGCCAGAACTCAAGTCTGGAGGTTGCTGAACCCAGGTCTGGTCTGACCCCATTGGTCTAACACCCAGTGTCTTCTCACCTCTGCCAACAATTCTATAACGGAGAAACTGACACAGGCAGTACTCACTAGAAAACTACAGTATCTAGTTGGTTTTGGAATGCTTGATAAACTTTTTTTTATAGCTTTACTTTCCTAATTTGCTTTTGTTTAGACCAAATTTCAAATTCATCTTAACTAATGAACTTACCATGGGGACAGTTGGAGGGGTTAGGCCAAAGTTAAGTCTGGTTCAAGGTTAAAAATAATATTAATGAGTAATTCACAACCAAGATTTAACTGTTGTTTAAATTTACAAAGTTTTTATTCTCATGCACATGAAATATAGATGCGATGCTTCAAAAGCATCTTGCCTGTCTTTCAACAAATTTGTCTGCATCTGTGTGGACCTTTTGTTCTATTTTTTAAAATACTGAGTCAGCAGTGCTCTGGAATTTGAGTCAGAGCATCTCGGGTCGAATTACATATTTTATAACAACTTAATCTCCAGGGGCCCAGTGAGTTGATGGTGTCTGTTCACACAGCAAACCAGAGGCACAGCCCTCCTGGTGTCAGTGACTCCCCCGTTCCTAGTCCCCGGGCCCTGGCTCATCTCAAACCTGGCCCCCCCCCCGCCCACTTCTCAATGCGCATGCGCCAGACCTTCGTTCCGCTAACATTTAAATGCCCCTTCTTTTCCTTCCTGCTCATCTCAACTCACATTACAACTATTTGCGTTCGCTTTCCTAAACTTGAGCAGCTCTCAGTCACTACATAGACACTGAATGGCAAATACGGAATCCGCCAGTATCGCGCAAGCCCCGCCCACTCACTTCCGGCGCCGTCGCACTTCCGCTGACGTCGGAGGTCACAGGTGACAGGCAGGATGTCGAGTGGCGGTGGTGTTGAGCGGTGGCTGAGAGCAGCATCTCCATGACCCGCGCTTGGCGAGGGCGGCTGAAGGGATCCTGGGTTG